CTTCTGCCATCTCACACTGGCTGGAGCAGGAGGTAGAGGGCAACTTCCCCTGCAATTTTGTAGCCTAGAAGATTTCTTCTACTGTAACCCAATTTTGGACTCTGTTAGAAGAATGGAATGGATTTGTATCCAAAAGTTACTCCTGCCCCATCCTCAACATACATACTGTATTTCAGAACACGAGGTTTACATCCATGGAGTTTTCCCTGGATGTTACTGGAGCCCTGAAGGTAGGTGCAGTCCTCTCATTGTGGACATGTGCTTTGCCTCTTCATCCACTTGGCAGAACGTCCAAACACATGTGGGTTTCTTTTTAAGGCATTATGTTGGGAAGCTGAAATATAGAGGACCTCCTTTTCTTTTAGCCTTGTTGCAAATGCTAGCATTTTGCAAGATTTAAACCCTAATCAAAGATGTAACATAATCAGGATCCAGGATGTTCTCAGCCAATGATGGAAAAGGATAATAATTCTCAACAGTAGGCTCCTTTATACAGGGCCGGTAGTGTTACCTTTCAGCGGCACATGAGAGTCTTCAGTCTAAATAGAGGCTTGAGATTTCCTGTTGAAGTTTAAGGAGAAACCCATTGCTGTATAGTTGAATAAAGAGAGATAAAATTAGTGGTTTTATTAGTGGTTCATTCATTGCTACTGTGAGGCATTACTATGGACTTGAGAAGTGCCCTGGTTTCAGATATGAGCATCTGTCTGAGGTTTAAGTTTCTATGTGGTTTTCATTTTTCTGACAATATAGGAATCTGTATCTGCAGAAAGCATAGTTAAGGTATATATAGTATTTACTAAAATATCAAATCTATAATAAAGGTAAAACCACATTATAAAAGTACAAAAGGGAGATCTAACAACCCCCCGCACCTCTCATTATTAGTATATATTTGTGCCATATGAAGTTGACAGTTGTTAATATGTTCCTTTGGTAAGGTCTTACAATCTGTGTTCCATTAAAATGCTCAAAGCATTTTTTTAAATTTCAGTCTAATAATCTGTTTCTTGAAAAACAAATACTTCCAGAATCTTCAGCAGATTTGTGGATTCAGTGCACAAAATCTCTCTCTCTCTCTCTCTCTCTCTCTCTCTCTTTCTCGCGCTCTTTCGCTCTCGCTCTCG